CTGAACATGTTCAGTCAGCACTGGATGCCAGCACAGGAGGCTCCTCGTGGTCAACAGAGGCTCCACACCAAACAGGTTATTTCTGAGGTCTGTACATTCTTACCTTGCCAGGGCTTTGCCTCTTGAAAATGAAGAGATTATTTAAGAAGTTGGTCCCAGCCACCCATCCTTCAGCCAAATGGTGACAGAGCTCTGGCAGTCCAAGCAGCCGAGGGTGGACATATCCCCAGCTGCAGGGAAGGCAGAATTTGGGAACAGATATTAGTGCATCAATGTCAGTGCTGAAGTCCCTTGTTACAAACGCTTGTCTCAATGCTCAATGTCTCCCCAGCACACAGCTCTAGAGATGAGGGTCACCTGCCCTCCAAGCACCGCCCTGCCCAAAGCAGCTTGTCTACGGCTGCTCTACCAGTGTCCCAGCGCTCCCACAGCAGCCAAGGAGCAGGAATGTCAGTCAGTGGCCTGGACTTCTCCATGCTGCTGGAGGGAGTGGGCAGTATAGAGGCAAATCAACTGAATCCATTTACTTTTTCTGCAGTTATTTGGTCAACTGTAGCCTCCAAGAGTTCAGCACGAGGTCTGGAAGCAGCCTTGCACCTCACTTCATAGTTACTTTGGAGGCCTTGAATTGGTGAGTTTTGTTAGTGCCTCTTAACTGCTGGTCACAAGTACCTGAAGGTTAGGAAGAGCAATTCCTTTTGTGCTTGGGCCTCTTAAAAAATTGAATAAAGACAACTGTCCTCTGGCACCAGCTCAGGTGACTTAATCGGGCGCTGACATCCAGCACAGCCTGACAGTGGCGGCAGGAAGGTGTGCCCAGAGAGGCAGGTGTGAGCACTGAGGCAACACCTCAGCATTTCTCAACCCATTATTAACACTGCAGTCAGACCATAACTATGCAGGAACAACTGCTGGAACAAGCCTGTCTAACATTCCCTATCAAGTCTCAAGAAGACTTCATTAATTCCCACAGAAATGCTGTTTTCCTGCTACTGGAGGCCCATACAAGAGGAATTGCTTCCAAGGCAGCGCCTGTAACTTCAGGGGGCAGGGGATCAAGCAAGCGTCACTGGAAGCTGGTATGAGGCAAAGATGAAGTACAATACAAAGGCTTGGGCAAGTCAAAAACTTCTCATGACTGCCTGATGGCGTCCCGGGCTCCATCCTCCCTTCTCCCTTCTCCCCCTCCTCCTCGCCCCAAGGAGCTGATATTCCAAGCTTGTGCAGGCAACGACACGGTATCACAGCAAAGTATCACAGCAGAGGAGTCAATTAGTTTCCTACCTCTCATTGTCTAATTCGTCAGGTCTCGCCACTAAAATATTAAGAACAGACACTACATTAGTTGCAAGGAATTTGCCATGGGAATGCGTAGCTCTTGGGATTTAAGTAAAGCTTTAATGAGCTGGGGAACACCTGGAAAAGACATTAACTGTAATTACAGGATGGAGATGCATCACTCCATAACACGTCTTGAGTGTGTACGTGTGGCAGTACAGGACTGCAAGAGTCTCCCTGTTGCTCCTTGGTATTTGTTGGACACTGGAGGCTGCTCTGGCCAAAACACCACTTCCCCTTCCCCCATACCAGCTGGGGAGCAGGAATAGCCTGCAGGCTGGAGGCATCAGGGATTTAAGGCTTTTGATACTTTCTCACTGAGGCTTGACTTGAAAAGTGACCAAAGACTGTACTGTCTATCCTGAGAGATCAAAATCAGGCAGATGAAGGAGCTGGACAGACACTGCCACTTAAGAGGGAGCCTGAGCCAAGCTCCAAAACCGAGAAAAGCTTTAATGTCTTCCCAGGAACTACAGAGAACATGGGCTGAAGCAGAAAGCTGAGAGCTGAATTTGCTGGTTAGTCAGGGAACCAGCCCTGGGAGCATGCAGACCCTACACTGCTCCAAACCAACCATGCAAAGCCAAGGGACCTCAGCCTGTTTGGAATGGGGGCGTTCATCAGTGTATTAATGTCACAAAGGAGGGACATAACTGCTTTGGTTACTGAAAGCTTAAGACTAACTTCATTAACAGCTGTTCAGATGCCTCTTCTCCCAAATAAATCTCTACTCAACAGCAAGGCTGGGACTCATCTTCATCCTAAACTGAATTATTATGGATTCTGAGGAGAAATCCAGATGAGTTCCACATATGCTTCAATTTCTCGCTCTGGTACTTAATGCTCAGAAAGTGAATCACTGGCTGAGACCTGCACTAGGTCACATACACCCCGTGGTTCAGGATTACAAGACAAATACCAGTATCACAAGCACAAAAATGTCTTATGTTCACACAGGTTAGAATTTTCCAGCTCCAGGAAGAACATGCCTGCAGTATTCTTGATGGCTTCTAGACCCTCAAAGCACAAAAAACCAAGTTTCAACAATTTAACTGCAGACACTACAGAGCCTGTACTCATGGGGCTGGAAACGGGGCTTGATTTGTTGCTATCAGCTCAAATGCTGCAACTTACCTCCAATTTCTGGCCAGATTTTATGCTTCCACTGGTCTATACACACTACTACTAGGAGGGTAAACGCAACCAGGAAAAGCAAACGAAGGGAAGTCAGAGCAAAGAACCTGTGAGGAAGAAATGAAGGGGGTTGGTACCATCCAGATCTGTGCAAG